TTGTTGCTTATGCTGGATCTATAGGTAAGTGGAAGAGACAACGCTGTAGGCAGTGGTTGCTTATCCCCCGTCCCTGACCTAGAGCAGTTTATCAGAGGGACCAGTGCTCCTCAAGGCTTGACACTGCCTGTCAGTTGCCTATAAGTCTCTGAAACTGGAAGAGCCTCTGGGTGATATGCATGTTGGGTGGTGCAGGGACCCTGAGAGTCTCCTGGATCTACTGAGAAAATTTCCCCCTGCCATTTCAGTCTGTTTACATGCCAACGCTGTCTTTGTGGCTCCCTGTACAAGTTTCCAATTGTAGCAAGGTCAGGGGCAGGGGCAGCTTGTCTATCAATGTGCAGTGGGCACTTTGTGTATTGGATGGGGCAGGAGCTCAGGGAGTCAAAGACCATTGGGCCAATACAGACCCATCTAATCCCCTCAAAAGATATTGCAGCTCGTACAGGCAGCAGTGGTCTGCCCACAACTGTTTTCCCCGAAATGCGCTCACTGCGCTAGCTACTGTGTAACCCCAGAGCAGACTGTGTAACCCCAGAACCAAGCAGGGCATGGGAGGCTGCCTGTCAATGGGCTGCAGGCACTTTGTGGCTTGGGTAAAGCGGGATCTCAGGGAGACAAGGGTAGTCAATCCAATATAGCCTTACTTTTGATGAGCTTCTGTGCCTGGGCGTTCCCGCCGTAGTCACACATCGCAGTGAGATCAGTTGCTGTCTGGGGTGGTCCCACAGACCCCTGTGCTCCCCGTACACAATATTGCAACTGTTGCAGGCAGCAGAGGTCTGCATGCCGCTGATTTCCGTGCAGTGCCAGCCCTGTGCGAGCCAAAGTTTATTGCCTGCATGGATTGGGAGGGGTTGGGGGAGGGGCAGGGCTGTGGCAGTTCACCGTCAATGGGCCACAAGGCAATTTGTGGGAAGGTTGGGACAGGATCTCAGAGAGACAATGGCAGTCTGATCAATACAGCCTCAGTCTTTCTGCAACTTTGTTAACTGTTCCCACATTCCTGCAAGTGCCAGATCATAGCAAGACCAGCTGCTGTCTGCGACTGGTCCACAGATCCCTAAGATCCACCCAAGTTCGTGTTGGCAGCTGTGATCTGCCTGACCCTATCTCGGAAATGCAGCTAACAGCAACACTAGCAGCCCGCTGGGAATCACTAGCAGCCCGCTGGGAATGTTTGGCATAGCAGCCATCCAGCAACAAAAGCCCCAGCAATATGCAAGTTAGGTGTGTGGAGAGCGCTGATCCCCTCAGGCCAGTGCTTCCTAATGGCCCTGTGGGAGGGGTCTGCATAGTCTAGCTGGCGTGGTCTGTAGGTTGCCTGGTAGGGGGGCCGGACTAAGGCACAATGGTGGCTTCCCTTCCAGCCTTTGTTCTGGCGCCAGGTAATGCAGACTTTCTCCGTATGAATCCCACGTGAGCCTCTGACCCCTTGCAGGTTTTCTGAGTGTCCGTAGGTCAAAAAGTCTGTGTGTGGGTCCTTCTAAGGGAGGAGGCATCTGAGAAACACAAAGGGAAGGGCTTACAGAAATGACCGACTCAGCCGTTTATAGATTAACCACATCCTATAGATCTCTGAATAGCCTTCTGGAAACTCGTGTCACACCTATAAGAGAAAGAATCTGTAAATAGATAGGACTGGTGGTCCGGGAATTACTGGAGAGAGGAGAGCAGGGATCCTCTCTCGGCGCATTGTCCAGGTTCTTGATGTCTCGAACAAAGAATTGAGCAAGACACCGAAATACAGTAGAAAAGTTTTATTAGAAGAGAAAGTACATTTGCAAACGTGGAAGTGGACCTGAGCAAGAGAAGCGTGCCTCAAAAGGCCTGGTAACAAAGACTTAAGGGTTTTTATTTCTTTTTGCTATGGGTGGTTACTTAGAGTGTGCTTCCTTGATTGATAACTAAGATTGAAAGGACTCAGTGATTCATCATTTTGCTTTCTGCACATGTTTGTTCCCAGAATTCAGTCTGTTATAATGATATTAATGAACTTCCGGGCGTATGTAGCATATTATAATGATGGTATAATGAGGCTCAGGTGAGTTGAAGGTTGTTGGGTGTCTTCATTGTGCAAGTGCAAGTGACTGACTTAAACTGGTACCTAATTCTCTGCCTACTGGTTTGTGTGAGTTAATAAATGCCTTCTGGCTTGCTTAATTGTGGGAGGATTAGAGCAGACCTGTTCTAGCATACGATGACCTCAGTGTCTTTGCAGGCAGACCGGAAAC